AAAGTTTTCCTTTCCGACTCACCTTCTTCAGCTTTCTGCCGCCTTTGTCTTAAGTGCTTTTTCCTGGAGGCGTAGCTTTTGGGATTCCCTCTGGTTAATATTTCCAGAATCCTGGTGGGGTTTTTATTTTTATTTTATTTTATTTTTTCCCTTTCAAACCTCCAACTTGAAGGGTTTTCTCCTTCTTAAGAATCAACAGTTATGATGATCGACTCTGCTTGGATTTTTTTTTTTTTAACTTTTTCCTTTTTCTGGTGGGAGGCCCCTCTGGGGATGTCAGGTTAGATAGGCAGCCTATTGGCCTTCTGTACCTACATAGTGACAGTGCCGGGGAAAGTAGAGGCCATGTGCTTTTTTTTTTTTTTTTTTTTAAGAAACCACTTTTTATGTCCTGTGCTTTTCAGGTGGACCTTTGCTACCAGAAGCCTTATGATGTCACCCTTTAACTTTAGGAATTTGCTAGATGTTTCCGCTAGCATGCTCAGCCACCTTCTGCCCTCCCCCCTGGACACACATCAAGCACACTCCTGCGATCCTCCCCCCACTTTTAAGCATTTCACATATAGCCAAGGTTTTGTGTGTGTCCTTCGGAAAGGGGAGAGCCAGATAGCAAAGCATCACGTTGTCCTCAGACACAATTCAAAAGAATATTTTCCTCCCATCTGAACTAAGTGCGAAAAAGACTGCGGGTTGACAGAATGAATCTTGAGGCTTTCGCCATCAACAGTCAAAATATAAAGAAGAGAGATTTATTTGGTATCTGGTTTCTGAAGAGGAGCAGAGGAGGCCAGGCAAGTCTGAGGCTGAGACTCCAGCAGGGCTGTAATTGAGCCCGTAACCTCTTGATGTCTATATCAGAAAAACAGACACGAGCAGGGAGAACGGAGGAGAGGAGAACCAGCAAGCCGGGCAGAGGAGGGAGCTGGGGGGAGAGTCACAGAGAGAGGGAGATAGATTTAATTTATAGACATTTTAAAAACCGTAATTTCATTAGGATCTGTTCTTCCCTTTCTCTGAAGGGCAGCCCGGCAGACCGATAAGGCCATTCCCTCTGCCCGGGATGCGTGGTGTGGTTTGTTGGGCGCAAAGCCTCGGCGTCCTTGCCAGGGCGGTTGCCTCTCTGTTCACTGTCCCTGGCCTCCTTATTTTCAAATTTAAAAGCCCCGAACAGTCAGAAGGGCCGTGTGGCTCAGGCTGCCCCGCGATCTCCCCTCTGGTGCCACGCTCTTCTGGGAGTAGGTCTGTCTCCTGTCTGGGCGGTGGCATCTGCATGTCTTCCATCTGTCACCCGGCTGCTGTGGTTCCAGCGGCAACGAGCTGCCAGGGAGGGGGAGGCCCCCATCTCGTCCCCCATCAAGTTCACCAACTTAAGTTGCTGTGGTCCTGCGGCCACAGCTTTGGGGGGGGGGGAGATGAAGCTTGTCATAAATTCTGCAAAAATTAATCAGCCGTTGAAGAGCTGCTCATGGACGGGGTTTGGCAGGCAAGCCGGGCCCTTCTGCTGCTCCCTGTCCCGAGTCCCATAGAGTGAGGGGTGTCCTGCACTGTGAGGAGGGAAGGGGGAGCTGAGGGCTTTTTTGGTTTGTTTGTTTAATCACAAAAACTGAGGACAAGTAGGAAGAGGGCAGAAGACAGATGGATTTACTGAATATAAATCCTCAAGTGCCCTTGTTCCATGTTGTTGGAAATTTTCTCTCCCTTTCGGTCTGGATTTGTCCTGTGTGTCTTTGGTGGAACAGACACGTAGAGAAGGAGAGCGGGGTGGGGGGGCGGTAAGGAGAGAGAGAGAGAGAAGGATAGAGAAGAGAGAGAGAGAGAGAGAGAGAGAGAGAGAGAGAGAGAGAGAGAGAGAGGGGCAGGGACAGCCGAGCTCCTTCGGAACTCATTATCATTCTTAATAAGTCTTAAGGAATAAAGAAGAGCATTGAGTGTAAATGCTGGGTAATCCTAACACTTCTCAAGGTGAGAGGAGTGTTGAGGACACAGAGAAAAGAGAGAGCAGAGGAGGGGTGGGAGGTGGGGCTCACAGGGCCTCGGGGTGTGGAGGCCCAGGGCTTGGAGGCCCTGCAGGAGGCCTAGAGGCTGGGGTGGGGGGACCCCGAGATGCCTCAGGTGGGATAGGTTGTCTGAGCTGACACACGCGGGCATCTCCAGGATAGGGTGATTTGCTGAGGGTCAGGAGGAGGGGTGCAGGGACCAGTCCTGCCTGTGAGTGGGGTATGGACTGGTGTTTGGGGGCCTTTCGTTCCTCCTGGGCATCATGTCCCCAGCCTCCAGGCCTCAGACTTTTGAAGAAGGCCCAGAACCGGATGGAGGGGCCTTGTCCTGCTCGAGGCCCCCACCTTACTGTCCCCTAGGGATCCCTCCCCCGCAGTGGCCGCTCTGGAAAGCCAGAGGGCCAGAGCAGCAGCTAGAGCTCAGCTCTGGACACTAGGTGGCTTAGAGGATCTGCTGGGTTCTCCAAGGCAGCCAGCGGCCGCTTGGCCGCTGGCTTCCCTCCCCTCCCCGCGGGTGGGCTCCGCTGTGCATTTGCTCTGCTGGCTGGGCTGGCAGCCCTGCCCAGGCGCACGGCCCAGATCCCAGGCTGGCCCTCCCGCAGCCAGCTCTCAGGCAAAGTGAGGGTGAGGCCAGGGGGCAGCTCCCGAGGGGCAAGACAGCTGTCCAGGGACACTTGCAGGCAAGATGAAGCGAGTCCAGCCGGGTCTCTGCCTGCTTCATCCTTGGCCACCTGGGCATCCTGGGCATGAGGCACTGCTGAGTGCTTGAGGGGGTCTCTGAGCTGTGCACTTCCCCTTCTTAGTTTATGTGCCCCCTTTGAGAATCTTCTTAATAAAAAAAATCTCATAAGCATAAATATTGCTTGTACTTTGAGGGGTTTCACAGATCTTATAAGCCCAGCCTAAGGACCCTCCAGGGTCCCTTGCCCTKGTGGGCTTCCTTCCAGTTCTGTGGGATGGGGCAGCAGGAAAGAGGAGGCAAAACCTGTCCACACCACCACTTCCACTGGCCTGCCTCAGTCCTGGGAGAGGAGAGTGCCATTAGGTGTCACCTAGGGGCCCATAGATGAAGCAGGAGCCAGCCTGCGGGTCACCCTCTGTAGAACCACACCTGCTCGGGCAGATGCCCCAGGCCAGGTCCAAGGCAGTGGTCCCCTCCTCTGGCTGACCTCCGCTAGGATTCCTCAGATGTTCGAGGAAGGGTGTTAGCCAAGGTCATGTTCCAACCATAGGGAGAGAGGTGGGCATGAAGGACAGCACAATTCAGATTTGACTTACCAGAGTTGAAACAACAAAAAWWTTTTTTTTTTCAACTCTGTATTTCTTTTGGAAAGCAACTTCTGGGGAGCTTGCAGAGGGTGTGTGGGAGTCGGAGGTGAAGGCTGGTGACTGAGCTGGTGTGGAGCCCAGAGGGAGCGGGACGGGTTAATGGCGGGTGGATTCTGCTTTGCTCTTGTATAAGAGCAGTAATGGCCAAATTGCATGCCCTGCGTGCGCCTTGCTGACGAGATTTACCGAAAGGAAGCTGAACTGCCTCTGCTGCTGGGCTCTGGGTGGGTGAGCCTCTGTGTGTGTGTGTGTGTGTGTGTGTGTATGTGTGTGTGTGATCGTGCGCGTGTGTAAATGAGAAGAAGGGGTGGGGGAATGCGCTCTGCCGGGCTGGCACCCTTCCCCAGCACTAATTGCTGGCAGAGTACCCACGGGGGCTGTGCCAGCGTCTCCAGCTCCGCCTGCCCCCCTCGCCCCGGGGAGCTCAGCTGTGCAGCTCACTATCCGAGGGCCATTTCCGGGCCCACTCGTCCTGGGACTCCTTTGGGAATTTCAGGGAAATCTGATCCTTGGGGAGACTGTGGGTCAAGTGCCTGCATCTCTGGCAGGGACTGGGGTGGATGGGGCAAGCCAGGGGTGGTCCAGAGCTCTGCTAAGGTTCGGCTGCCCACTCCCCTGTCAGGCTCCATGTGCCTGTGCCCACTCAGGGTCTCGTGAACCGTGGCGGGCTAGGCGAGGCATCGGGGCACCCTGTTCCGGTTCTAGCTCTGGTAAATCACTGGGTGGCCCTGGGCAAGTCACTTGATCTCTCTGGGTCTTAGTTTGTTCTCTTGTCGAATGACCTGTGACCCTACTGCCCTCATAGGGCTGTCCTGGCTGTCAGCTGGGCTCATAGCCGTGAAAGTCCTTTGAAAGTAATTAAACGTAATGAAGAATTTATCATGGTCATGTTGTCAAGTGCACGGTGTCCCGATGTCAGACGAGCTGGTTTTATGTAATATGGTACCAGTCTCAAAGGGGACCCCTGTGAATTCCATTCCAGAAAGCCCCGGCCCGGACACGGCGCCTGGGGCTGCCATTACATTTTCATATCAGGTTATGGGTTGGCTYTCTTGTCATCGGGAGTGTGGGGCTGGGTTGGGGGTGGCCTTTTAGACAGATTGGAGGATCCCATCCAGGATATGGGGGACACTTAGCTGTTTTAGCCTATGGGGTGCACTTGGCTGTTTTGGAAAACAGGGGTTCATKGAATGGCTGCATGCACATTATGCATTCTAGAGCCACTGAGCTGGGGATCAAAGTCTTATGTTCTAGCATTGRTTACTTCACTAGCCCGTGCCTCAGTTTCTCTCATCTGTAAAGTGGGAAGAGCTTGCTGTCTATATATCTGGGGACCAGGACTCTGTGAGGTGTGGGGCAGTGTCATATTGGTTGAAAATTCTTGGGGCTGGGGATGTGGCTCAAGCGGTAGCGCGCTCGCCTGGCGTGCGTGCGGCCCGGGTTCGATCCTCAGCACCACATACCAACAAAGATGTTGTGTCCGC